CTGTTAAAATGTTTCTAACTTCAGCTTTAAGTTAAGTTGAAGTAAGCGGAAATTCTCAAGTTCACACAATAGGAGATGCATACCATCTGTAGGCTAAGAAGACAGTTTTTCTTCTATTTGCATTTTATAAACAAACTTTAAACTGTCAAACCTGGCTTAAAATAAACCACTGTCCCTGCAAAAAGGTATTGGTATTGCACATCAATACTTTTTGGATACTGACCGAAATGTGAATTACCCAAAATTCTCCACAAACATTCTTAAGGAGGTGGTATTGTGCTTTTTGTCTTTTCCCCTCTCCTTTATTGAGTTATATATCTTTTTTGTGCATGTAACAGGTTTGCAAAGTGAAAAAGCCCAAAGTCCAGCCCAAAGGGAGTTCCCATCTCCCACAGAAAGCTCTGCTCTGAACCGCTTGAAAACAGCTCGTTTGTAGTCCAGCCCTTCACTTCCTTTACTTGTGACGTCACAATGAAAACGTGTGATAAAGCTTGTCAAGCAGCTAACGGGCTCAGGCATGAACTCAAACCAAGCTAGTCTGAGCGGAGGCCCTTTAACTCGACTCGCCTTTGTTTGGTTTTCCATTGTAGAAATGTTGTACCTATACCTGCTTCCAGGTACTTTTTTTTCGTATCACCTCACCTCCGTGGAGGTTCCAAGCGAGCTGAGAGATACTAAAATGTAACGTGAAAACCCGACAGACTGCTGATTGTTCAGAGAGAATCGTCACTATTCACTGCATCATCATTGCGCGCCAGACAGAGGCCCGCAACAGAAAGTTTTATATTTTACAGTTTTCGTATGTAATTTCATCACTAAATCCACTTCTGAGAAGTTTTGAGGTGAGAAATCAGCTGTGTAGATTTCGAATATTGACAGTTTTACGAAAAGTGATGGCAGAACAAAAATGTGCTTGAATATTTTCGGAGTTGAGGAGCTCCGCAAGTGGCTGCGGGGGAAGCCTGTACCAACCTGCGGGAGGAGCGTGTGAGTCCGGCCAGGAAAACACAGCTGGAAGGTTTTCATACCGCTTATCTGTCTTTACATTCTGAGTAATGTTGAAACGTTTTAACTGTATATATATATATGTATATATTTTAAGAGCTGTGTGGATCGCTGGTGTGTGTGTGTCGCATTGAACATTACGTTGTGGCAGTTGTATGTGGCGTCGCTATGACGACAAGCTACGTACTATCTCTGGGTACTATCTGCAATGGAAAACGGAGCAGGGCCGAGTAGAGTCGAGTCGATCGATTTGCGCTATGGAAACTTTTTTGGGCAAGGCAGCATAGATCGTCAGAACACCGGCAACAGTTCAATGTTTAGTCCTGAAGGTAAGATGTGGAACAAAATTTTTGAAAATTAAACCATGTAAACATGTTCTGGTACAACCCCTAAATAAGATTTTGAACCTGAAATTGAGCACAATACCAACTCTTTAAGTCTTGTTTATTTATTCTTTGATGGAGATATTTTCTTATCTAAATGAGGAAATCAGGAAAGTTTGCTAATTTCACCACTTTGATTGAAAAAAAAAAACATTTCAGCCTATATAATTTACACAAGTCCTGGGAGTATTAGGCTCTGTATTAAATATTAAAAGCAGCAGCAGCTTTCTCCTTTACTGGTTTCATTGTGTATCACAAGTTCCTGAAATGTATACCATTTCTGTCAAAATTAATAGATGAACCACGGAAACATCATCAACTAATTATTCTATAACACAGATCAACATTAGCTGCAGGTCTAAGAATCACTTAACTTGTGCATGAATTAGCCATATATCCCCGCTAAAGAGGTTGTATTTTTGGTGCCATTTGTTTGTCTGTCAGCGCGATTATGGAAAAACTACTCACCCAATTGTCATGAAACTTGGTGGAAGTGTGTAGCATGGGCCAAGGAATAACCCATTTTAGAGCAGAGCTTTTTTTCACCTTCAATAACACTCGAGATACAGTAGGTCAATTGTAACACTGGCAATTGGCAAATTCACCTGAATTTGTTGCACATGCAAACCTGTCGTAATTAAAGTGAATGACGTGCCACTACGAAATATACAACAAAAAATAACAACCACCTCAAACATCACTGTAGAAACAAATGCAGCAGGTATGTAAGAAATAAGCAAAAAATAAGCAATCAGGGATGTGATCTTTCCGGATTAATCCAGAATACTGGATTTTCCCGAGCAGCCTACATCATAAATGCATGGCTGAGATAAGGAGGCTTCCGCGAGGCACAACCTTATTTTGACATACTGTTATTATAACGGTTTTGGAAATATATCCAGACATACATATATAGGTGTGTAGGTAGGTAGGTTTATTGTCACAATACGACAAGTTGTAGAGTGAAATTGAATTGTGTAACTCCCTTCTGCTACATAGCAGACAATATACATTAATAAAGAATCACTTATGAAAAATGGTAACAGAAATAAACTATCATCACTGGAGCAGTGCTGAGGATGAAAAAGAGTTTAAGAGTCTGATAGCTTGGGGGGGAGCTGCTCTGCAGTCTGGTGTTGTGGCAGCAGAAACTCTTATATCTTTTCCCCAAAGGCAGCAGGGTGAATAGGCTGTGGCTGGGGCAGGTACTATCCTTTAGTATCCTTTGGGCTCTGCGTAGGCACCTCACCTCACCGATATCACTGATGCTCGGGATATAGCGGTTGTGCTTGGAGATTTGCATATCATAGAAGACTGGACTATATAGGCCTTGGCAGACGTCTGCACACCTGTCACACAGCATGGATCCAAATTCGAAAACTGTATGTCCTTGATAAGAAATTGGAGGGTTTAGTGAGATGAGTGTTTGAGTGTGGTCACACACAGCACAGGCCTTTAATCCAAACCACTCCTTACTTTGATCAACGGGTTGCCTGTTGATCAAACTGATTAGGAGTGGCAGGTAAACGGTCCTTCTGATATTCCATCACGCTTAGGTTGAGAATACGTTGAGGGAAAACTGTGGTATTGCATTAAGTCCAAAATATATGTAACTAACTAAAATTAGTCTGTTTTGTTGAATCAAAACATTGTATAACAATATCAGTAATGAATAATAAGTAGGTGAAAGGACTGTTGAACAGCAGCCAAGTACACTTTAATCTTGATTCATCAGCACTGGTAACCACTGGGATACAAAGAGTACTGAGAGACGTGATGACGAGGTATCATCCTAATCATTTGCTATTCAAACTGAAGTGAGGTCATCAGAGTCACTCAGTGCCACTCGCTCTGGAACTCAATGGAGCCAACTGCCATCAGGCACGGCTTTGACACATTAGGGTTTAAATGGTAGTATATAACACTAAATGCTGTGATTATAGGACTAAATTTTTGTAATGCTGGAGGGCTTCCATCCCGCCAAGAGCTGAGGCATCATGCTGGGAGCAGGGAGGAGGAAGGGGAGCTCCTTACATGCTATGAGGATTGGCTTTTCTGACATCCAGCTTATAATATACTCGAGTTAGACAGGTAGATTTTTTCTTTCCTGAAAAGCATAATAAGGATCAGTTTTGTAAAGCAAATTTCTGGATCTTAATGATTTTGTCCTCCCTGACATTTACTGCTCAGAGCGTTTCTAAATCCAGATGTAAGAGGTAAAAACCTCGACGCTCAGATTGTATAAGAAGTAGGTGATTCTAAAAGCAGACGTGATTAAGGAGAAGGCCCAAATCCCTCTGTGGTGTGACGTTAAACCTCTCTACCCCAAAGTCTGCTGCCCAACAGCACAGGATGGGATTCATCAGTGTCTGACAAGCAGCAATCACACCCCAACACAACACTCTGACACACACAATGATTTGGCTTCGACCTAAACTTGATCCACTTTTTGTAATAGGTTTACAGGCTAAAATATCTGTGCCACCAACATTAACCAAAAAGCTCTGTACAAGAAAAAAAAGCAGCAAAGACCATTAGACCTTTTTCTCATCTTAAAGACAAGTTTATAATCACGCAGCTGTCTGATTTATCTGAGCAGCTAATGTTTGTGAGAGCAATAGGCCAGGCGACAATCACGTTTGACCCACATTTTGCCAGTTCTCGAATTTCACTGTTCTTCTATTTGGACGTTTATTCGCTGAGTGGGGAGCTGTGTACTGGAAATTCATGATCAGCAATTAATTGTTACTCATGACCATGGATACTATTATAAATTCTTTAGAGCACAAGAGAACATGGTGATAATAATAATAATTCGTAAGTACCAAAGTTTCCTGTCCTCCTAACTAAACCAATTCCCACAGTTTTTGTACACACAGCCAGTGTATAATTTTTGTCCTCTTCATTCTGAACAACATGATCATAAAGTGTCCATCCAACACCAAATCTTAACACCTTTCTTAAATCTACACTATTCAAATCTGGAGGCTCTTTCAACAACACAAGGAATACCAAGTGTTTGCTCACAGGTAACATAATTGTTGACAGACACTGTTGACACTTTATGATGTGACAGATGTTTCAAAGGACCTGGCATGCTGGGCACTTAGAGCTTCAGTAGTGAGCCAGCGTCTGGACTCATAAAGTTGGGAAAAGACTGCCATAAAACCAATAATTTGCGTGTTATGACTGCAGGTGTCTCATGTGACTGCACTTGGAAAGGAAGCACTGAGGCTGGAGGTGTAGGCTACTGTACAGCAAGCATTGATTATCTTGTATTTGGAGTCAAGGGAGCCAAATAAAAAGTGATGTTTTTATGGGAAACTTGTTGAGTCCAACAACAAAAAAAGACTGATTTGAGTGGCTGCTGAATTTAACATCAGCTCACACAACTTCAATCCTACTTTTAGAAAATCTGAAAATACCTCTTACACAAGTAATACTTTTTTTTTTTTTTGGAAAGAATAACCCTTTTTCTGAACAACAAAGGACAGGCGTGCTGGACAAACAGAGATCCAACCTGCACACACACGCACAGCTGTCCCGTCCCAGGACACTGAAGCATGGAGAGAACAAAGAGCGGACAGATGAAAACGACTTTTTTGGTCTTACCAAAACGGTTGCAAATCTTTCCTCCAGTTCACCTGGCTCAGGCATAGGCAGTTTGAGAGGCATGTTGTGTCCTCTGAGATCAGTGTGCTGGTCCATGCTCCCTGCGTTCCCCATGTTTCCTATTTGACCAACAAGTACAACTTCTCCCCCTCAACTCGCACACCTCCTTCCACTTGAGGAAAATCTCCGCACGGCGCAAAAGGGAAAATATCCGCACGCGCTTGGGTTTCTGGCTTCAGTCGCCCTCACAGGCTCCTTTACAGGTTGATCCCGGTCACTTCTTCTTCAGCATAAAGCACACGTGAGAGAGGCAGCGTAATGAGATGGGTCCGAGCAGCAGCGGCAGCAGAAGAGGAGCCCCCGGTGAGGCATTTTTCAAGGCAGAATGAGGAGACCTGGAAACTTCAGTCAGTCCACACGGTCCTCTCTTCGCTGTTATCCGTATCTTGCACAATTTCGGCTCCACTCCCAGCCGGTAGTAATGACGACGAGCATGATTCACGCGTATTGCAAACCCCCCCACACACACGTCTGTTAGTAGTGAGTGGAGCTGGCTTCACTAATCTCTCCGCAGCTAGTTGAGGAGGAGGGGGGGGGGTCCAAACACTCACACCACACACACACACTCCGCGGATGCACACGCTCTCATCCCTCCCTACAATGAGCCTTTTCAGGAGCACACCTCCCACTTCTTCTTCTTCTTCTTCTTGGGGCGTAGTTCCTAAAGCCGTAGCTAAGGAGATGATATTTTCTGTGTTGCATTGTGGTACTTTGAGTCCATTGTGGGAGACAACAAACTGGGGGTCCTGCAACCCCCCTCAGGCAATTGAGAGATTATTACAGGGACAGTATGTAGGGGAGACCTGGGGTGTTTGTAAAATGGTTGACACGTCTCTCTTGGAGCTCTTTTAAGCCAGTGATGTTGAAATTGTGATACAAACTAGTAACACATGTCTGCTATTAAATGTGTATCTGTTACCTCTACAACACAGACAGAAACTGCATGATTTAGTCTCAAGCACAAGGAGTAAAATGTTACAATTTACCCCCTAGTCTGGAATACTTGGATACTTTGGGGTGAAATGTAAAATTATGTAATGAGGAGTATTAGGAAAACTTGGAGTGCAGGCCTCATGGGCCCACAGAGAAGCGAAAGTCTTACACTAACATTTGAACATAAAAATGGAACAATTAAACATTAGTGACAGCTCAAACATTAGTACTGACAACTTGCATGAATAATATCTACATAGACACACAATGAACGTGATTTTGACTTTTTGAAGTTTGACGAGTTTAACTACAAAACAGACAATTCTATAACAAAAATAGTTAAAAATTACTTTCTTACCTCAAAATATTTTTTTCCCTTATAAACTTGGCTTTGCCTGTCACAGGGTGTTATTTTTTTTTTTTTTACAAGTGGAGTAAGTACTTAACTGAGCATGTGAGTATTTACATGAACAAAGTTTTAGAGTAATTACTCAGTAACGTAAAGCTTCTTTTTATTGTGGAAAATGTATGATTTGTGTCAGTGTCAGCTATCACCTTTGAGGTTAGCCAGACTATCACATTTAACAATATTTTCCAAAGTAGCTTGTGAATACACAAAGCAACAACTCCAGTCAATTCATCACAAGTAGCTTTACCAATATTAACAGTTCTTTCTTATTGATAATTTTCACTAACAGTAAAAGTACAGGTTTAAATAATAACATCCCTTATTGATTGTTCTCAATATTTCATGGCACTGCTGGTGGGGACAAGAAAAGCGTCTCCCAGCGCCAAATAAAGTCGCTGGGGGTCTGAAAAAGGTAGGCAGCTGACCAAACCACTGTGAGGCATATGAAAGGGGAGGACACAATCTTTCAAAACTTAGAAGCGCATTGGACTGGGAGTAGAGAACAAGAGCTGTTAACTGTTTGTGTACTATATACATTGACTAGACGCTGACAGAAAACAGTGATTTGTTAAGATCAAAATTATTACTAGGGACAATTCAGTAGTCACTGGATATTAACTAACATCCCTACTAAATTCTACACCCTTGAATTTGATCAAAAACTCTTCAGTTTTTTGGCAGATTTAGAGCAAGTTTTTTCCTCCTGGGGAGCAGGGAATGGTTTTCTTAAAACCACATAAAACATCCTGTTAACACAGCAAATTTGAATGTCTTAAGAGGACAGAAAATAGCGTGTTAACACGTCCATTTTGGGTGCTACCACTTCATCAGTTTCTGAGGGGAAAACCTACATAGGCCTACAATTAATGCAAGAAAGACAACCATTCCCCACTCAACCTACCTTGTATGAAATTAGGTTAAGAAGTATTATTGATTGAATTGGGTTTAAAAAATAATAAATTGATTAATAAAGATTATATTGTCACTTATTGAGAAAAGATGTAGCTTGAACACAATACCATAAATGAAATATTAATTTAAATAAATCACATTTAATCATTGTCTTTTCATGAACAGGCTGTTAAATATGAATCACAGTCTTCCTGTTTGAAACACTACATTTGTGTTTAGAAAAAAATTCTTATCAACTGAGACAGGATGAAAACACACATGACTGCAGGATTATCATACAAGCCTAGCCCGATTCTTGATATTGTAACTGCAATTGTAATTTCGATTTAATAGAACTGCTAAATACTAAATATGCTATATACATATTTTGTGTAGGCCTATTCTTTTACTGAACGTGGACACTAAAAATCACCTACTGGGTCCCGTTTATTGAAATAATTTGATCAAGGGACAATAAAAACATCTCCAGGGGGATATTGTTTTGATATAAATAAAGGGTCTGAAATGATCCATTATCCCTGCACAATGCCTGTACCTTTTTTAACTTTAGTTTAAAGAATCATTGTATAACTGTAATTACTTGATAACACAGTTACGATGAAATCAGATCTGCTGACTGGGTGGGGACCACATTACGCACAAGAGGGTGACATCAGCATGCAGCGCTCTGGAGACTATCCAGAGGTTCTCCAGATGCACAGTGGTTTCATTCAGGCTGCTGGACTGATTCAGTGGAGGAGGGCGTCACATCTGAGGTTGCTGGCTGGACACACTGAGGATGCGACTCACAACTGACTGACCTCATATAATCATTACGTGTCCCGAGTTAAGTTCAGTCTGTGTTATATAATATATGTACTGTGTACTACATGTTTATCTACTTAGGCCTATTGGATTCTGTTTACTTAGAGGAATAACACACCAAGAATGCAACTACCACTGTTAAGGAAAGAGTTTAAAGATTGGGATTTAGACAAACAAATACATAGTAGCTGTGATTTGAGGGTTTGTCCAGCTCCAACATGTGACCTATAATGAGGACAGATGTTGAGCATGCTCATCATGACTAGGGTCAATTTGTGAAATGATTAAAAATGTTATTTTTGTAATGCTATTGATGTATTTTAAGCAGGGGTCTGCTTCACACTGTTGGTAATCTTGGAGGGCCATGTTTCATTCCCCAAAATATTAGGTCCTATTAGTTCTTGTGCAATTATGTCTTACATGCACAGAAGCCCATGTTAGTCACTCATATAAACATAAACTCATGGAATACACATTTGTTTCTCATATGAAAATAATAACTCCCTTTTATTCTAAATACATTTAACTGACTGTGTAGTTGGACTCAGTAATCCACTTATCTTGTCACAATAAAAACAAATAGGCCTTACTGTACAATGACAGCAGAGCAGAGTGTGACAATGAATGAGCTTTAAAGCAATAACACGTCTCTCCATTAACCATGGTGAAAAAACAATTGAGGGTATGTACTCCCTTACAAGCGTCCCTGACACAGCTGATGGTGACTCACAGCACGACGAGAAATGGGAATGCATTGAATGTTACAGTTAACGTCTGTGTTGGGTGATCCAGTACATACGTACTGTGTGCAGACTCAAGGAGGTTTTTGGACTCACAGGGCCCTCCAATTATGTAAACTATGTTTCATTAGTATCTTTGGCCCTGTCCCTCTTTCCAGGAGCCAGTCAGTCAGTCCAACCTCACAGGTGATTTGGGAAAATGGTGCCAGGAAGATCAAATAAAACAAACATTCCCTAAACATTTCTCAGTTTAATTGGTCTGTTTTCACCAAACACAACATGCATTATTTCCAAGACGCTGTGCATTAGAGACCACAGAATGTATGGGTGGAGAGGGCACCTTGCAGCTGCATCGCTCAGAAGTCTGGGGAAATATGAAAGGCTTCAGATATCTCCGCGAGGAAATATAAAATGCAAAGGAGATGCCAAAAATAAAGGCAGCACAATCAGACCACTGTGTGAGGAGGCTCACGGGGAGTTCATTTGGCTGCACAGTATAGTAACATCTGTGAAATGAAGTCCTCTTAAATAAGAGAAGACTCATGAAGTTAAGGCTGGAGTGGGGCAACAAATGTGTCTTTGTATTCTAATTTAAGGGCCAGAGACTTCAGCGATTCAAAGTAGATGTAACAGAGGTCCCCTGAATCTTCAGAACAACAACGCCCTCTTATGTATGTCAAGTGTAGTACCCTCTCTGGATCAGACATCTTCATTATAAACACAAGTTTCTCTAATATTTTCAGCTTAACTTCACAAACTTTTTCCAAGGGAGACAAATCATAATGATGTTTAAAAAAATAACCCCTGAAGACATGGAGTCTTCCATCAGCCAGAATATTTATTCGTGTCTCTTGAGACTCCCACAGCTCAAACCACCATCCAGGTTAGGAATGGCCATTTCAATATGCAGTCAGCAGTCCAGCCTTTAACCCCAGCCCCTTAATGGCTGCATGTTTGTTTACGCCAAACTATTTGCCCTGCATTGCAAAACAGCATAGCCAAAATATAAATTTTATGGTCCAAAAATAAAAAGGGGGAAGGTAATTTAGAATTCAAGAGGCTGAATATCAAACTATATTTATTGTATACAGTATTGGGACAACAAATAATGTACAAATGAAAAAAATGGATATCTCCCTTGTCACCTTGCAAATCTAACTTGTTAATATTTAAAATGAAGGTGGACATTCTCATAAAACAAGATTGCTACCAACACACGAGTCAAAACAAACTAAGCATTTGGTGATAATGTTGGATAGATTTAGCACAAACGTACTGAAATTGGCAAAACTGCACTGGCTCAATATTTACTAATACAAAGACTGAAATATATAACATTAGATGAAACACCTCATTTCTGGACTGATAAAAGGTGAATTGTTTTTATTCTAAAATCCTGAAAAGGTGGGAAAGAAACCAATTTACACATCAAGAAAACTCCTGTTGTGTCATAACAAAGACCGCTATTACAGTCACAGTAACCCTTTACATCTACATTTTATATATTAACCAAACCCTTTTAAAAAAAGAGCATTATTCATTCAGCTTTTTGGTCCAGAAACATTACTGCACTTTTAGTTAAATCTGCTTTGAGGGCATCAGTATTGAGGTAAACCATCCATGTGGATCTTTCTCTGCACAAGAATTTATTAGCAAATTTTGAAGGTAAAATCAACATGGATACATCAAATGATTTTGAATGTTCTTTAAAAAAAAAAAAAAAAAAACTATTACCAAAGTTTTATACATGAAGAATGTCAGAACGTCTTTCCCCATCTATGGAGAGAAACCACGGGCTCCCATCCAGCAGTTTTCCTATGAATTAAAAATAGTGGGAGCCCATCCTGAATTTGAATGCTTACAAACAATCTGGAAAACTTAAGGGGGGGGTGGTGGTTGGCATGTAGTTCAGCTTATGGTTTATGAGACATGCAAGAGAATCTCAATATCGAAAGAACGTAATGGGTTTTTCATTACGAGCCATATCTGATCTGAGACTTGTCCCTGCCTTGGACAATTTCAAATCTACCAGTTATGTGGATAAAACACATTTTAAAAAAGTACCCTGCATCTCAACGTTTGGATATGGCCCCAAATGAAAAACCTCTGCTACTTTCTTTTATGTTATTAACAGCTTGACATTTAGCCAAGCGGGGGGGGGGCGCGTTATAAAAGATAAACAGAAATAAACAGAGGACAACATGAAAATAATGGTGTGGATGTTCTTCAAAGGGTAGAATCCACATCCCACTTAAGAAAAGACTCCTCCTGTCTGTTGTTGAAATACATCAATAGTGTCCTCATCCTCCATCTCCAGCTGTATTGAAAGAAATTACACATTAGTAATTTGTTCTACAGCAAATGCATTATATTTATTGATATGGCAGTAGAGTTGGGTATCAAATCCTCAGTGCTATTTAGCACCAGCAGAAATACGTGCACTGAAAAGTTCCAGAAGCTGGCATTAAAAGTCTGGTTAGATTCTCTGCTTCATTTACTCGAGTTCCCGAGTAAACACTTTTAGACATGAGTGGTCAGGTAACTTCTTAGCTGCTTGTGTTTTGACAACATTCAACCTTTGGACCAGCCTTTGCATTAGGTTCTATATATTTTTTAACAATTATTTTCACATTGACCCAATTAAGATGACACACATCCAGGGACAAAGATGCTCCATTTATCAGTGTTTTCCTGCTGAGAGTTAGACAAAAATCAATACTACTCATGTTTGTAAGATAAAAATCAGCTGACGATTAGCTTAGTTTAGTTTAGAATTAAGACTGAAACGAGGATCAACAGCTAGCTTGGGTTTGTCCAAGTGAAACAAAATGCACCTACCAGAATCTGTAAACGCTCATTAATTAACACATTTCATTTCATTAACACAACTCATTTGTTCAAATCTGATTTACCGGGAGTTACTTTCTGGAAATGTTTCTCAAACACTTGCTTGAGAAACACTTGCCACATCAAATTGATGGGTTGTGATTATTTCTAGATTTATTATTGTGCGTACTTGTTACTATATTGCTTCCTTTGTGCAACTAAAATGCTTGAGCAATTTAAATGATTACTGCAATTGAGCCAAGAGGTGAGGGCATGTTAACCAGCAGCAACAAATCCTTATCCTTCACTTTACTGTCATAAGTCTAAAACAACAATAGGAGACATGGGAGAATTCATTCGTCATTACTGAGGGTTTGTATCCATTCAGTGATTGTGCACATTAAGAAGTGCTACCAACAAATTACTACAGAATAAATGTATACCTGTACTCAACAATAAAGATATGGGTTATAAACACTCGAGGGGACTCAGGTGAATTTGATTCATCTGACCCCAGCTTGTAATGCCATTTCAAAACAAAAAAGTGCAAAGACAGCAATTTATGACTACATAAAAATAACTTAATTACTTAATGTTTCCAAAGAAAAGAAGAGCACACTGAAACTAATGTAACTTGTGGGACAGAAGCTGTATCAACACCTTACTTCATCTGTATGTTTTCAGAAGCACAAACAAAATCTGATAGTTTCTTCTCAATATTCTTTATTCTCAAATTTCATAAGCTGCAAAATAACTACAGTACTAATGACACTATCTTCATTCTCCATTACTGATGATGTAAGTACGTTTAGTAAAGAAATAAATACTTACGCTCTGACAGATGTTCATGTATTTGTGCTTCAGAATAAAAATTAAACATTATAGACCTCAAAAAACAAAACAAAAGCATCTGTAAAAACTATCCATGTCTATGACTAGACTACATGGGCTTTTAGTACAGCTCTTCATATTCTGGACTTTGAGTCCAGCTTTCACCAACCTGTGCAGGTGTGTCCGTTTCATTAATTGGCTGCCCATCGAACCTAAACCTTATCTGACGACTTGACAATCCCTGTAAAAGACAGAACAGCATTTTAGTGAGACCCTTCATCCAGTTAGCGATAAACAAAATATAAACAACAGTTAGTTGATATGACATAAGTGTTATTAAGTCAGCTCAGAAGTCTACCGTTACCACAGGGGATTCAATCTTTATGTTTCAGTCTTACCTGTCTTTCGCAGTATGCCTTCATTAGTTTGCTGAGCGGAGTATGCCTTTTTATTTTGAACTGTACGACCGACCCATCCTGACCAGCTACCTTGAGGTTAATATGGTCATTTTCCGTCTTCACTCCTTCCTGCAACAAAAACCGTCATCAGCAGCAGCAACATACAAGTGCTACAGATTGCCCTGTGGTCACATTAACTGGTGGTGAATGCGTTGGTGGTTGCTTGATGACAGATGTTGAAAACAGAAAGAGGACGAGTTGCAATCTTCCTGAATGCCATTTGTCCTAATTTAATTAAATTTTTTTGTAACATCATGTGAGTGAAATGGTGTTGCAGACAGGAATAGCTGCACTTTGAATAAATATATATAAAGGAAAAAAAAAAAACAACAGCATTTGGGAGTCATGTCATTCCTGTCAATAGAAAAAACAAAAAACAGTGTAATGTGTCCAAACATTTACTCGCTTAACATGAAGTTAAACATGTTGACTTATGTAATAATGCAAACACTGTCATGACATAAAAAGGCCCTGCATGCATGTAGCCAACCCTTTCATTTTACTAGGCTGTAAAAACTGTGTTCATGTGGAATAAAGTGATTCTGTAAACAAACTAATGGGAATTAATTCATGGATTTGACGTTTGGGTATATTTGCCAATTTATTCAATGTGCACATAAAACTCACTGCAAGTGTCACAAGTCAAGCCGACAATAGGTCGCAAGTTACACATGAGGAGGCCAAGCAACACTCAGCCTGTGAGTTACAGCTGCTTCACAAAGGTCCCGCTTCCACGGTGTTGAAGAAAGTAACTTAGACAAATGTTTGGACACACTGCTGACTCCCAAATGCTGCTTACCCTTTAAAAAAAATAAAATAAAATAAAAAACAAAACACATACATTCAAAGTGCAGCTGGTGAATCCTGATAGCGACACCATTTTACTCACATAACGTTACACTGCTAAACCCAAAAATAGAACAGATGGGAATATACTGGAAATTTAATTAAATTGGGACAAAAAGCATCCAGGAAACCAGCAACGCTTCCTCTTCCTGTTTTCAACCAACGCTGTTACTACAAGCAACCACCGACACTTTCAGCGATCGCCATCAATTAATTTAACTAACGTTAGCGGTGTCCGGTGGTATGACGTTAATCTAAAGTTACAACAGGAAACTTGAATAAAAATACAATTTAAGTGAGCTAACTTGACATTTACATGCCAAGCGTGATCCTAAAGGCAGGCACACAATGCTAGTTACTCCATTTGGTTCTTCCTGTGGTTAGCATAGCAAGCTAGTCCGTGTTCAAACTGGCGCAGAATGCCACAATGGCGCAAATGAAGGGAAAACACTAATCACTCATTTCGTAGGCAATCCCGATACCGACGTTAGCAAATATGGCTTCATATAACGATAAACAAATGAGTAGAGGTAGCTGGTGTTCATATTTGCGTGACACTGCAAACACACAAAAACTGTGCGCCTACAGCCAAATGATCCGCAAATTGGTCAACCTTTGTTTTCTCCGTCGACCCGCTCAAATGCGGTATCTGTAGCCTGGAAGCAGGGCTAGCTTAGCAGAATGTGCTAACTTGGAGCTTGCGTTATTAGCACCTAAAGGCAAACATGAAAAAGATGTTCCTCTGAAGAAACACAGTAACGTTACTGACCTTTGGCTTCTCTTCGGACATTGTGCTATTTTCCCAGGGATTTATTAGTAGCGTGGAGACGGATTGTTAATGGTGAAGCGGGTTATCAGTTCCTCCGGCTCTATCGTTCGGACCAGGAGCGCGCACTGAAATTTAAAATGTAATTCGACCAAAATGGTCACGTGCTCCACTTGTCTTCGGGGCCGCGGATACGTGAGCGCGCAAGTTAATTTGCGCATTCCCGCGATATAGGGAAAACAAAAGTGCCCTTCTGCAAAACAGCCCTTTAGTTCAGGCCGCGGGCACTCATAAGCATTAAGCTAACGATCCAAATAGTTAACTAATAAAACTTAACCTCATTGCAGTGGGAGCCAGAAACACAACATACCAATCAGAAATACTATGACATTTTTTTTTTTTTCTTTCTTTTTCTGCAGACTCTAATAGGGTTGTGTCAGTATTCCACTTATCAAATAAAGATGGTCTCAGGATAAACATTTTTTCACAGGGTGAAATCTAAAGCAACTCTCAAAAAGTCATGTCAAGGATTTTGGAATAAGGCTCATTTAATATAGAATATTACATTGTCCCTCACTGGGTTATAGACTTATATACTTTAAGGATTCTTTGGACATGCCCCCAAATTCAACAATTGGATGAAGATTCATAGCTATATTGTGATCTCACAGGTTTGCAGTTTGTATCTTCAGAAGACTGTATCTACTATCTGTTTTGCTGTAATCATTGAAGGGTGGGCCAAGATAGCAATAATAACCAAATGGCAAATTATTCTTAGGACTGAAATGCAACTTCCAGGACAGATTTAGGAAAGACTGCTGCATATAATAGAATGACACATAGTATGTATGAATAGGGCAGAAAATGTCTTCCGCAAATGGGGAGTGTGTATTTCCTGCATAATTGAAAGGGTGAGGTGTAAGCACATTAATGACATGGATTTCCAAGTGGGATTTATGGTTCCATACTTTCTATCAGATCTTCGTTTTTCTTGAAAAAAAAAAAAAAAAAAATGGGTGGGATGGGGATGAAAAAATGGCGCATTTGTGAATTTGGAAATTGATTTAAAACTTATCACACAAAAGAAAAATCACATTCATTAAATTTCAATAGAAATAGTCACAATTTTTTTTTTAACAACAGCTGCACAAAAATGAAATACCTCGCATGTAAGTTCAAGAACACACATTTCTTTTATACAAGAAAGTTCTGAAACAAACTCTTATATTTATCAACATTTAAAATAGCAAAAAAACATGTACAATGTGTTACATGTCATAAATGAACTTTGTATGTAAAAATAAATGGTTTGGCTTAAGACATGAATGCCGATCAGTTAAATAGTGTGTATCACAAATTTAGTATGAAAATAAAACTGCTGGTTATTAAAGACGCACCACAGGCTCCGAGGTGCTCTGCAGTTGTAGAATTCTTAGTAATATTTTTGTGCAAAATAAAACAATAATGTTTGCATATCATGGTGCACTATATGTTTTTAAAAGATTTGCCCTCACATCTAGTTTCCTGTGTGGAATGAAGTTAACTGAAAAGATTTCCACATAACCATTAACAGCCACATAAAGGCATAAGAAATATTAATTTAGCATAATAGCAGAGAGCCACATATAAAAAATGAATCATTAGATGAAGAGACCGTGTTTGAAACATAACGCATGAGTCAGAATTTCTTCAGAGCATCTTGGTGACATTTTCCTGCAAACACTGACTCACTGAAATCAAATCAGATAATCACGTGCAGTTTATCCTGCATATGTATCTCAATGTTACTGGCATCAGTAAGATCATCTTAAGGGATTTTTTCTAAGGAATCATTGCTGAGATTCTTCTTAATGATCATTCATACGGGCATATGGATTATCCTTTGCCAGACCTGAAAAGGAAAATGGAGACATTGACTAATTTCAAAAATCCTTGTCTTCCAAAAACCATTGTCGGTAAAATTTGGGAATTAAATTATTTTGTATCAGTCATGCACATTGCAGTTTCTATCCAGTAGATGGCACAACTGAATCTAATATGTTGTTTATGTTTTGCTTTTTTAACTTGGTTGTTAAGGACTTTTTACATTGTTCCCTTTGTTTGATCTTTCTTTTTATTCCCGAACCCAGTTTTTATTCACTGTTTAAATATATTTTCACTATGCATGTAAACATAGCTCAGTGAAAAACAAGATATTCAGAATTACATTTATTAACCCATTGAAACCCACACACAAACAAAAAACTCACCATATTTCTGCCTGATTTCATCATGCCTCAGCTGCATTTCTGTTCTCCTGTTGGGGATGAAACAAAGACAAATTGTTAGACAACAGAGAACACTGGCAGCACGCGCGCCCACAGCGTTTGAATCCTGACTCAAGGATCAACACAAAGCATTGCTGCCAGTTTTAAATAACTTTACAAAAAGCAACAGAACTCATCATTTGGCAAGTACAAATATGAATATATTTTAAATTAATTATCTAGACCAAACCATAAACATTACAATCAAGATAATCCACGAAATAACATGAAAATATCCAAACACTGATAAAACTTCATTGTAGTGCATGGTGGTGGTGATCAATGAGATGTGCCCCAATTTGCCTGCCACTTAAAAACACAAGTGGAAGTGTAGAAGAGACACCCCTGGTGTCTGTTTTACTGTTATGAGCCTTTGTATTTTGTATCTGTATCTACAGTAGTTAAAATTGGTTCTTGTCATACGCCTCCTCAGTAGCCATTTACTTCGCTTTCTGACGGCTCTTCCTCGCACGGGTTTGTCGCTCCACCTTTGCGTCTTCTCTCTTAGTTCTGGAAGAATATAAGAATGTGTAGTTATATTAATAGTCAACATAGTTATGTTTCTCTAAATAAAAGCTTACATTGAAATATAAATGACACTCAAACTGATGCTCTGTTGTGCTTTGCTTTTAGTCTTGTACAGCACCAGTTAACAGTCAGTTAATCAGTCCAATAATCTCATCAAATATATCACTGTCTCTTCATCCAACACTTATTAAGTTAACTTGTTTTTAGAGACTTGAGCATGTCTTCATAGAAAGGGGACTGCTATTTTCAGAGCTACGCTGTAGTAACACATTCTGGCAGGCTTTTGGAGACGGCGGTATCAGCCTAGCCTTGCAGCAAAACAACCCATTGTGTTCCCCTCGTCCTCCTCCTTCAACGTTGAACCAGATTTGCCCGCCAACACTACATGTAACTTCATGCTTACCCAACTCTTTCACACTTGCAGCAGCAGAGGCAGCAGACAAGAATGGCAATGATGATGATGCCAGCCAGCACTGACATGGTGATGATCAAAATCTGGAAGTTTACTGGACGTCAAAAGGTAGACACACAGAGAAAAGGAAACACTGAAATTCACTTAATGACGAGCCATGCAACGAATCCTGTTAAATAAACACTACCAGGGCTGCCCCTTTTAGGCTTTAGTTAAATATTTGATGTTTTTAGCCTTAATTATTTTATTAAAAGTGAAGTGGGGAAATTAAATTTATGGTCCTTCTGTGCAAAAAAAGTACCATAATTAGTCATAGCGTCATTTTGTAAGTCAAATAATTGATTAGTAAGAGGTATCTTCACCCCATAGAGTCTGCCCTCCACACACACATCCCAAATATCAATCCCCAAAAACAAAAATACTTGCACGTTATACGCAGATTTGACATAGATTTTTAATCTCACCCCAGCACACTCCCCATCTTGCATCGTTCAGTGGACACACACTGCTGGGGGGCAGGATGTTCCTCACTGGGTAGTCCAGGCATTGTTTGGTTGGTGTACACCACAAGCACTGCAACAAATGCAGCAACAGACACTTTGTTTAGCATCTTCTCTTTGGCATTTATAGCAACACATCACCAACCACAACTAAAGACAGTTGTAGTATTTGTATTTGGCTGAAGTGCATGTGACTTACTGTTACATTCTGCAGGCATTCAGCACAACTGGTGTTGGATCTCAAGGCACATGGAGCTGAAACAGAGATAAGTTTCCGTTAGTTATACAGTAGGTTGGAGAGATTACCGGCCCTGCTTTGACTGTGTAGATTCAATTAGTTGTATAACTGAGCTTAAAAGAAAGTGAATAAAAACAAAAATAAAATAAAAATAAAATCTTCTATAGATATTATTTTCTGCCCACAATGACAAATCATTAGCAGTGGCGTATATGATTCAGTGACGCACTTTGATACAAGACAAACTAGTGTGAAGTTTGCTTTATGTAGGACACAACAAATGACCATAAAGAGGGGAATTAAGATGTTTATCTTTGCTCCTATAATTAGGAGAAAATCCATTTTGCTGCCGTCATGTGACAGTCTCCTGACTCTGGCTGGACAACACAAAGCACAACAGCTAAAGCCTATATAGCCTAAACTTACCCGGAGCTGGAGAAGGAGTCGGTGTCTGCGCATCTGTGGTTGTAATAATAATACCGTAGAAAACCAAGACAAAACGAAAGGCTGAAGATCTGCAAACTCCGGACATCGTGAGACCATCGACTTGCTCAAACTAACAGTTTCAAGTCGAACTGAAGGGTGGACCCCTGGGCTGACGTCACGAACTCCTGACAATCGTGTCATGAAACAGCTGCAGAGCGAAGCATCGTCTTCAGTAACGCCAGGAAATGTTCAACATAATGTAGAAGATAAAATGTGTCCGTTCTCTCATATCTGGAATTTTTTTTTTATTTATTATTAACTTTTTCACAACTGTATACTTTTACAGATAGATTGATGTAAAAAAAAAAAACTTTAGTACACATTATTTTTATTTTAGTTCATATTAAATAATAATAAAAAAAGATAACAAAGAGCCACAATATTCAACATGTTCAAATGTCATGTAGAATCCTAAAGGGGAAATATTTTACTGGTCTTTAACACAGTATTTACCATAATGTAATGTAACAATATATCAGTTTAGTTCCCCAGACTGGTCCTCCATGAGGAATAGTGCCGTTTATAACATTCCTGATACATCTGATTATCCCTTTACAGCACATTCTGATGAAGTGCTTTGAGAAACCCTCAAGTGGTGTGAGGGCCCTCCACTCAGCCCTCACACCACTTTGAGAAAAACAACACCTAGGGGAGACCGGGTGAGTTGAGCCAGTTTTTACTTGATGTGTCTATAAAGTCAGGACATGGCAGTAATGTCTCCAACTAAAACATGTACATATAATTTAGGATGTGCTGCATCCCTGGGAATAATACAGTTAGATCTAAAATAAACCAAAAAAGTGGACTGCAATGCTCAAGGAGAGGATAAGTTGAGCCACATGGGCGTCAGGGACGTCAATGTCATTTCAATATATTGCTTTAAAGCCATCCTGTTTATCGTCATGTCTTGTGCCACCTGATGAACAGACTTCCCATTTTGTACCTCTCCCACTACTCTGTCCAAATACATAAGGAGTTGAAGCCTGTCTGTCTTTAATTTATAGAAGCATGATGTGATGGTTGCTGGTCTAAAATGCATAATGTCACATCATTTCGGTGATACATAAGAATGTAATGTAAAATAACAGTAAAATATCTGGCTCAACTTCCCCCAGGTCTTTGTAACTTTGTGTCATCCAGCACTTTAAGAGTAATATCATGCTAACAGTATAGCCTCATATTGTAACTTCCTAAACCACTAACACATGCGTAAGATGTTCTCAAACCTGTCTATAATTGTTCAGACACAAGAATCAGAACTCCTTTTGAATGTCAAATAAACAGTTTTGATCTTAAATGTGCTTATCACTTATTCCATGGGCCTCTCTCTATCACAGGGTGTGTAAAATGATTGACTCTTCAAAAATGTGTGTACCCAATTTTGTCTATAGTTGCTGAGAAACAAGGGGTAGCTCAACTTCCCCACAGGCTCAAATCACCCCGCTCTTCCCTATATCAGAATGCTGTTTGTGGATTTCAGCTCAGCATTCAACACAATCTCCCCCATGAAACTGATCAGCAAACACTCTGCAACTGGATATTGGACTTCCTCACTAACAGACCCCAGTTAGTTTGGATTGGCGGACTCACCTCCTCCACTCTAGTGCTCAACACCGGAGCCCTCCAGGGCTGTGTGCTCAGCCCCCTCCTGTTCACGCTGTACACCCACGACTGCATCCCCCAACATGGAGATAACTCTGTTGTGAAGTTTGCGGACAACACCACCATCATCGGCCGGATTTCAAACAACGATATAACAACGACTTCATATCGGGAGGAAATTGATAATCTTGCAGAGTGGTGTACAGAGAACAACCTACTGCTCAACGTCAGCAAAACCAAGGAGCTGATCCCCGATTTCAGGAAAATGGAGATAAAGACACACTCCTGTCTACGTCAGTGGTGCTGAGGTGGAGCAGGTGAAGAGTTTCAGGTTCCTGGGAATCAGCATCACAGAGAACCTGACATGGTCATCTCACATCTCCATGCTTGTGAAGAAAGCTCTGTATTAATGTATATTGTCTGCTATGTGGCAGAAGGAAGTTACAAAGCTCAATTTCATTATATTATCCGTTACATTGTGACAATAAATGTATCCACCTACCTACCTACAGTATCAACCAAAAGCAGTTGAGGAATATCAGAGAAACTTAAACCCCTTCCACTAACAGAATAATACATCAAGTAGATTCGTCTTTGTAGGCTGTGCCATATTATCCTCACAGACCCTCACTTACTTATGTTTAAAGGCCCTGCTCATCCATACAGGTGTTCTCAATCGCTTTGGCTAATTAGACCTCTACTCAAGTCTAATGATGCATTCATTTCATATTGTCCATTACAAGCAGCCCATTGTGAAAAGGCTAACTGCAGCTGTAACATGTTATCAGCCTCCGGGGCTGAGAAATATATCAGCTACAATATCTCCCACCTGGCAAAAGGGACTACACTAGTACCAACGGTCTGCTGCAAAGCCACCATCTTGACACAATAATGCATGCTGTAGCTGTAGAGTCAGCTGTGGCACAACTATGCAATGCATTCATTTCACTGTCCAAACAAAATGAGGTGTTAGTACACATGGGCACTTACCCAAAATCCCAGCTTTGGTGTTTCAACTATATGTCCGTATTAGCCGTCTCATAATGATGTATTTTTGCAGTAACATATAAATGTTTAATGGAGATTGAGATCCACAGCCAGACACATTAACTGTACATACCATTTTGTCCTCTGTAAGACCAACAGAACATGAGACAATAATAACAAACACAAAACAGCGTTTTGAAATACAATAATTTATTAAAGCATCTTTAAATTCTTATAAAACATTTTCTGATTTTTCTTCTTCAAAACAATCAGAAATCTCAGAAATACAGTCATCGTCAGTGGCAAGATCAGTCTCTGGTGTGGCCGCCGGCAGCTGACCAGATCGCCTAAGTGAGTACGATTGGAGAGCAATGGAAGACAGTGATGCAATGTGAGGTAAATACTAAGCTCATTATGTTTGGATCGACTCTTATGATGAACTATGCAGTACGTCGACTGGCATAGGCTTCAATCCTCTCAAGTGGCGGGGGGAACTTATCCTCAGGTTAGTAAGGTAATAGAAGGAATTGAGCGTGGGTGTTTAGGGCACCACACTTAGGGTATTTTATGTCGACAAAAGCTCAGGGCACAAAATGGAGAAATGCACAAATAATAGTAAAACAAAAGTACTAGCCAAACTGCATCAATGCATTTCCAGCACACTGTTCACCTCGCTCAGTCAGCTTATTTTCTCAATCCACTGATACTTCAATAAATAAATAGCCCACTCTCACAAGGCCTTCAACATCACTGAAAAAACACAGTAAAACAATCTTCAGACACAGACGTACTGAACAAGCTACATCCTGCTTATTTCTAAAAACCTTGAGCATCATTTACAGCTTCAAAAAGTTAGACACACCCTCAAGTCAATACACAATAAAACAGCTCAACACAAAGTACTGTACTTGTTCTATGACAGAACTGCAAATTGTTCAAATGATTTTAGTAACCGGTGCCTTTTGAGAAAATACTCGACTGCAGTGGTTATAAACATTGCATCTCCACTGATGCAGTGGTTATTCATGTTGGATTCCTTTGTTTGCTGCAATTATTTCTCATTATTATTACTTATCATTTTTTTTCCTTTAAGATAGGGACAGGCTTTTGTGGCACACGCACCAGTGGAAGCCTTAACTACCACACACAGATACTAAACAACCCAAAGTTTATTCTCCATTCCTGAAAGGCCACATCTGCACTCAATCTATAAATCCAGAATATTTAAACTAAAAACCTAAATAAGGCAAGATGAGGGAGATAATCTCCCTTGGACAGTTGTATTACACATTAACCTGAGGGAATCTCCATTCAGGAGAACATTCTTTGCAATGGGGCGCAATATCTGTAGAAAAAACACTTGAATAAAGGTATGTTTGCCACTGCAACATTCTTTTACCTAATTTGGATGTATGCTTAAAGAAAATGTACACTGTTGGAATTGAAAAAGTCCAGATTTAGATTCGAATGTCTGCTATGAATTGTGAAAGACAGGGTTTGGTGGAAAAAGTCCGGTTTTCCTGGATATTAAAAAAACAATTCACAGATACCTGAAGTACATTTCAATTAGGAAGTGAGAAATGACCAGTGTAACTAATGAGAGTAACATGTTTGGAGACTGTATGGAGGGAAGCAACACTCGGGAGGACTGTAAAGCTTAAAAGGGATGCAGATGATTGAATGATCCAACTTTTGCCATAAGCAGTAAAAACACAAAACGTTTTTGCGTCTCTAAAGACAGGACTCTTTCTGGACAGTCAAAAGCTCTGAAACACCATCTCTGCATCATCTGTCTATGTTTTTTGTTGTCTGTCAGGTGTACAGTAGCTGAGTACATTTGGTCTCCTGTCAAGTCAATCACCTGATCCAGCTGGTGCCATAACTGGATGCAGACTTCACACTGCAGCGCTTCTTCACGATCATGTTTATGTAGGCCTTCATGATCTTTGTGATCTCTCCAACCTGCCAATGTACAGACGAAACACACAGTCACCCAAGAGACGACAAGACAGGCAAAGATATACAGATGTGTATAACATTTTTTGAGTCATATCAACCGACTGATATTCTGAAATACTGTTTCCTCTAACAAACATGCACAATCTAATATATAGAGAAAAGATGATGTACCTGTGGTGTTTCAAAGAACATTTCTCTCTCATCCACGGTGATCTTGTAGGTGCAGGGCTGCGGAGCACCGAAGAAAATGATGTGCTCATATGGGAAGGTCTCCAGAGGCTTGGGCTCTCCTCTCTTGTAGACGGACACATTTTCAGCGCTCACGCTCAACCAGAGATCATGAGGGAAGCCTCCTTCTTTGCACTACGACACAAACACAGGAACTCATAAACATCATCCAATGTGTGCAGCAGGATGGCAACTAGCGATCCACTGATCTGATCTACAGGATCAGTGCATCCTTACAAGCAAAATAAAAAACCTGATCGACCCAGACCCAGTAAACCTACCTCGACATCAAACAGTGTGGATCCATATCCAGGCCACTCCTTGATGATGG